ATAAGTTATATACTTAGCTATGGTGCACTAAAGTCTATAGTTCAGTTGTGTCACATCTTGAGAAATTAAACAACAATAAATGTTATACAAGACACATTTACAATAAGTTATATACTTAGCTATGGTGCACTAAAGTCTATAGTTCAGTTGTGTCACATCTTGAGAGATTAAACAACAATAAATGTTATACAAGACACACATTTACAATAAGTTATATACTTAGCTGTGGTGCACAAAAGTCTATAGTTCAGTTGTGCCACATCTTGAGAAATTAAACAACAATAAATGTTATACAAGACACATTTACAATAAGTTATATACTTAACTATGGTGCACTAAAGTCTATAGTTCAGTTGTCACATCTTGAGAAATTAAAGAACAATAAATGTTATACAAGACACATTTACAATAAGTTATATACTTAGCTATGGTGCACTAAAGTCTATAGTTCAGTTGTCACATCTTGAGAAATTAAACAACAATAAATGTTATACAAGACACACATTTACAATAAGTTACATACTTAGCTGTGGTGCACAAAAGTCTATAGTTCAGTTGTGTCACATCTTGAGAAATTAAACATAACAATAAATGTTATATAAGACACATTTACAATAAGTTATATACTTAGCTATGGTGCACAAAAGTCTATAGTTCAGTTGTCACATCTTGAGAAATTAAACCATAAGACACATTTACAATAAGTTATATATTTAGCTATAGTACCCAAAAGTCTATAGTTCAGTTGAAAGGGCAAGCATGTTTGATTCGAACTCCGCGACCCGTAGATTGAGTGCCCTAACCACCTGGCCATGCCGGGCCAGGAAACTAAACGGATCACAAGATTAATAAAACGAGATCATTCGAGGTTCATAAAATTACTTTCTTAGTTACTCAAAATTCTGAAGCTTAATTACTGTAAAAATTATGTAAATTTTTTGTCGAAAGTTACAATTTGAAAGGTCTGTAAAGTATAAAATAGGTCGCACCAAAACAGGAATGTGCCTAAATTCAAAGAATGCACGAGATTATTAATCTCTTAATCAATTAAATTGTTGGATATTCTTCTTATGATGTAACATTTTCTTTAATTCTATACCTATTATTATTATTATTATTAATTCGATATCTGCATGTATTTTATTTTTTATTAATTAGATATACTGGAGCCATAATATATTTGAACGACAATATTTCAATTGTGATAAATATGATGTACACGATAATGTGAAATTAATATAAAATAAATTGAATGTGGGTATCTTATTAATAATAAATATAGCATCAAACAGTGCATCATAAATACTATATTCAAGTGGCCTGGCATGGCCTGCTTGCTAGGGCGCTCGACTCGCAATCTGCGAGCTCGAATCCAGGCATCGAATGTGCTCGCTCTTTCAGTCGTGGAGGCGTTGTAATGTTCTGGTCAATTCAATTTTTCGTTGGTAAGGGGTAGCCCAACACTTATTTGTGTTTACTAACTGCACTCTCGCTAGTTTATCGCTTCTAAAATTAGGGACAGCTAGCGCAGATAGCCATCGAATAATTTGTGTAATTCTCAGGTAAGGAAAAATGTTTGAAAATCATTAGATGTTCAAAACTACTGATTCAGTATAAGTTTCAGTAGTTTCTTTTTTCAAAAATAGCTCCTGTTTATTAGCATAGAAAAAAATCATTAACTGAAAAAAATGGCGTGTTTAAAAAAACAGTTTGCCGTACGATATTTTATTACTTGAAAAATGTTTTTATTATCAAACAACGAATGATTTAAATGATTGTAAAATTTACTTTATTTCCCAAAGATCGAGGAGAGAAACAAGAGTTTTTCTGACACATTTAAATGTACATTCACAACCGTATATATAGTTTTGTGACGAAGCTTACATTTTTCAGACAGTTGTGCTCTTAAAATGAGCTCAAGTTTGCCTGCTTTTAGCTTATTTACAAATCTGTTCGAGATGAGAAAGATCTTATATAATGTCTTTAGCATTATATATATATATATATATATATATATATATATATATATTAAACAGCTCACTACTAAACAGAAGCAAAAAATTTAGTCTAAAAAGCTCCGAAATATTTTTAAATGGAACCTTTATAACCATATATTACACAAAGAAAAGCACGAAAGTCTGTACAGATTAAAATATACTTATTTACATAAAAATTTTCCAAAACCGGAAAAATGACAATGTCGGAACAAAGGTCATTCCTTCAGCGGACAGTAAACAATGTCATGCCCAAAATATTTCCCTTCAAAATAAAAGTAAATTGAATTGCACACTATGGGTTATTTTCATAAAAACTAATAATGTACAATTTGTAAATTTTCACTAGTCTTAATACGTGCTTTTAATTTCACAAGGTTGAGAACTGGTTGTCAGGTGTTTTTAGAAAGAAAATGTTCAAATATTAAAGCTAATTAAGAGCGGACTACACGGCTCAGTCAAAATGTAATGATTGAAATATAGGTGAAACAGTTAAATATTTTGTTGATATAATAACGATAAAATCTTTGAATAATACAAAATTTAAGGCTAGAAAACACTTGAATCGCTACAAAAAAATCACCAGGTTTTTTTTTTAATTAAGAGAGCGTCAATTGCAAGGTACAAGAAATGATATATCAAAACAAAACTACTAACAGTTTTTTTTAACACTTCGTTCTCAACCTTACCCTATTATACTACAGCAAGATAGTTTATTCAGACCATATTAATTATACTTAGTCTGAATGAAGTGGACACAGCCTTGTTTGATCACACCTTCATGCTTCGATTCGGCGTTATACAAGCTACATAAAAATGCGGATTAGTTGCATATCCATATTACAATTTTGAAAAGAACAGCAAAACCTTAACTTGATGCAGTTTGATTAAATGCCATATTTATATAGGTCATTTTTTCGCTTTTCCTTATAAGCAAGCAATACCAAGATAAAGCTGAGACAGCGCATAAAACAAACAATCGAAAACAAAAGATTGATGAAGTATTCAAACTCTTGGGAAACTCACAAAATAGGGACAACAGTTTAATTGCTCATGGTTTATGTTTTTGTTTTTTGCTTTCTAAAATGGTAAATTTAATAATATTTTACCTACCCCTTCTCAATATGATAAATGAAATCAACAAATCTCTTTGTTATTCTGTTCTGAGTGATTTTCCTTTTATTCTGTCTGAGTAGCTTGAACTTCATAACATTGAATGATTAGAACCATCGGACGGACAATTGAGTAACTACTGCCTGATAAAGGCTGGAGTGTTTGGATCTTGTCTGAAATGATTAAAAGGAACAGAGTAAAGAGAAATTTTGAAGCAATCATAAAATTATTCGGGGTCTTTTAATTATGAGATAACACCAATATTCTATGCTAGTTTTATTTTGGTGAATTTTCTTGTATACACTTTCTTTTGTACGTGGAAGTTGAGTTCACAGATTCTGGAGACGGCCGCTTTTGTCTAAGAGAGACTGGTTTAACCACTGAGTTATAACAATTTGCAGATTGATCCACATTCAACCTGTCGCCTTCGTCTCTAAGAGCGACGTTAGAAAAGGAATATGAATAAACAGGACTGGCGTCTAAGCCAGAAGTGCCCAAAGCGCCTAATTCGCTGTCCTCTGATGTAAAATTATCATCGTCAGTACTTACTGTTTCCAGAAGACGGCATCTGGTGGTGGATTCATCGAACGATTTTTCTCCTTGACCAACTGACTGGGTAATTCTGCTTGAAAAATGAGAGGTATTATCTATTCCTCCTGGACTTAGTCGTAGAGTGTTTGAGTGCGAGCTCGAGTAAGGAATCCGCTGCTCAGATACCAGTTTTGTTATCACAGAATCAACTCTTTTGGTAGAAGAAACTTCAGATGTCTTTCTGGTCTTATTGTTCTTGTTGCTTGGAAGATTTCCCAAACTTTCTGTCAAAGATGTTTGGGGTTGAGACTCATTTTCTCCGCTTGAAAACTGAGATTTAGCTTTTTCCCAAAGTTTAGGTGAAAGAGGAAGAAAAATGGGGATAGGAATAGGAATAGGAAAAGGAATAGGACAAGGAACCATCATCGTCACGGGAGGAAAGAGAGAGGATGACGAGGAGCTGTGTGTTTGAGTGTGAGGAAGTAGGTGAGGTTGAGGGCTCGGAAATGAGCAGGGCACACTAGTTTGTGACAAAGGGGGAATGGGTGGCATTAAACTCGGAGGAACAGGAAGTGGCGCGAGACTCGGTCTGATCCCTAATCCATGCTGCATTCGGAACAATGCTTCCATTTGTTGCTGAGCCATTAGGTTTAGAGGTGACGGATACATGCTAGGAGAAATCATTTGAGGTCGCATGTGATCAGGACCAAAGGGAAAAGGAGGAGGCACATTTGAAGGAGCGTGAGATTGGTGGGAATTGATTGTCGAACAGGGACCGTTCAACAAGCTGCTGTGAAGACCCACATTGGGTGGGCTATGAGGTGTGATGCTTGGGGAGCGTACTGTGTGACGATGAGGTGGTGTGAGTGTTGTTTCAGAATAATGTTTTGTTGAGTTGCGAGTAGAACGACGTGGTTTATCTTGTTCTTTCCCTTTGGAAGACTGCCGAGTTGGTATTTCATTCTCTCGGAAAGAGGAGTTTCCCGAAGCGTTGAGGGATAATGGAGTGGAAGACGTCGTCCTCTTATTTCTGTCTACTGGTGGAGTATCTCGATCCTCCATTGTCTCTGAGCTCTTGGGACCATGGCCATTTGTGAAACCTGGTGTTTTGCAGTCTTGAAGCCAGAGCTCAGGAGTAATCAAGTTCATTGAGCCACTAGCTGATATTTTACACGCTGCTTCTTTCAAATGTGGATGCATTTGGAGATGAGCTTGGGTCTCTTTGCAAAATATATTCATTCTGTACTGGTTCAAGCACTTGTCACTACAGAATTGAAGCTGTTGTTCTCCATCCTGAAAGTCGACGTAGTTAACAGTGTGCCGCACATGTTTACACCAATCACAGACTTTGTTCTTTTTAAAAGATGCTCTTCGACATTGAGTAAAGCAAAGTTCGCTACAAAATGCTTTACTGCCATTGGTTGTTTTCAAAGTAAAAAGCTTCATTCCCACTTTCTGACACCACGCACAAATTATGCACCCAGATGGAAGATTGTTGTACTCTGAAAAATACAAATGAAAAGTTGTAATTCATGCTCAGTTAAACTTATGCAAACTGAATTTATTTAACCCAAAGTTTTGTTAACAGGAGAAAGTTTAGTCTAAAGAAGCGCGTGAAAAATTAAAATTTCACAAACAGTAATAAACAATAATATTCTAAAAAAAAACAACAACATATTCTGGCTGATTTTTACAGAATTGTAATTTATGTGTCAAATATTAAATTCTGTAAAGTAGTAAATATATTTGACTTTAATTCTTATATTTAATTATTTTAGAATGAAAAAGTGGATTAAAGGAATGATGTTATGGATTATTACGTCTAATTAGTGATGCGCATGAATGAATTAACAAGACAATTCATATCATTACTCTTTACTATCTACCACAACCAAGAGAATGGGTTTCGAGAAATCAACTAGTGGAATGGAAGTCTGTTTTTGTGGAAGTGAGCGCAAATTTGTATTTCATGTCATGAAATACTTTATAAAAGAAAAGTAGATTCTAGTACTGTGCATGGCCAGGTGGTTAGGACGCTCGACTCGCAATCTGCGGGTCGCGGGTTCGCATCCCCATCCCACCAAACATGCTCG